CTTAGCTGTTCTGTGTCACAACAACCTCCAGAAGGTCTGTTCTACCAGCATTCAGTGTTGCTACTAAGAATCAAAAAATATATGTCTGAAAATATATATACAAATAAAAATCATAAATTATTCCATAATTGTAAGAAAGCATTATTTTAGCCAGTCTTTTTCTTTTAGCCAAATATATAGCTAGGAAATAACCAGTAACCAGAAAGGAGAAATGAAGGAAAAACAGGGCTATGACACCAACTTCAGGGTAAAAGTGGCCATTCATTCTCAGATAAACTATTTCTGGAGATAATAACATCTCTCTTCTAGGGAGCCCTCAGTTGATTTCATCTCATCTCCCTGCACACTCAGCCCAGTCCTCTCCTCATCACATTTTTCTATTCTGGAACAAATATTCATTAAAAAAAAAAAACGTCAATTAAACTACTTTTACATGTATATTTCAATAACATTTACTACATTCTTCATGTTGAGCAACCATTATCAATCTCTTTTTCTAAATTATTTCACCAACATTAACATAAACTCAGCGTCCTCTGAACAGTAACTCCTCCTTTCTCCTCCCTCCCACCCCTGGTAACCATTAATAATCATTGGTTTCCATATATTTGTCTATTTCATAGAAGTGAGATCAAGTATTTGTCTTTTTGTGATTGAATTATTTCATTAGCATGTTTTCAGGGTTCATCCATGTTGTGGCATGCATTAAGACTTCATTTCTCTTTATGGATAAGTAATATTCTATTGTAAGTATATACCACCTTCTGTTTATCAACTTTTCTGTTGATAGGCATTTCCATTGTTTCCACATTTTGGCTATTGTGAATAGTGCTACAGTGAGCATTGCCGTACAGTTTTCTGTTTGTGTTCCCGCTTTTGAATATTTTGGGTATATACCTAGCATTCAGATTGCTGGGTCATATGGTAGTTCTATTTTTATTTTTTTGAAGAACTGCCACACTGTTTTCCAAAGTGGCTGTACCATTTTGCATTCCCACCAGCAACAGATGAGGGTTCCCATCACTTTTTGATCAACACCTGTAGGAGCTGGAGAGCACTGGCATTCCCAGGAAGAAGGTATTGGGGCCTAAACTAATGACCCCTTTTATTTATACAGCTCCTTTCATGAAATCTCTTTTGGCTACCAGGTGCAGACTGAAAGATGTATGCACTGAAGGCTAGAAAACCTACAATATGGTGAACACGTCAGGCCTGGAATGAGAAGATCCAGTGTCTTACTCATCTAGTGCTGCTATAACACAGTAACACAAGTCAATGGCTTTAACAAAGAGAAATTTATTCTCTCACAGTCTAGTAGGCTAGAAGTCCAAATTCAGGGTGCCAGCTCCAGCGGAAGGCTTTCTCTCTGTATCAGCTCTAGGGGAAGGTCCTCGTCAGCAATCTTCCCCTGGTCTAAGAGCTTCTCAGGCACACGGACCCCAGGTACAAAGGGCATGCTCTTCTCCTGGCTCTTATTGCTTGGTGCTATGAGGTCCCCAAGTCTCTCCACTTCCTTCTCTCTTTTATATCTCAAAAGAGATTGGCTCAAGACGAAATACAATCCTGTAGATTGAGTCCTGCCTCATTGACATAACTGTTGCTAATCCCAACTCATCAACATCATAGACACAGAATTTACAACACATAGGAAAATCACATCAGATGACAAAGTGGTGGACAATCACACAATACTGGGAATCATGGCCTAGCCAAATTGATACACATATTTTTGGGTGACACAATTCAATCCATGACACCCAGGATGCATGACAGATTCCAGGTTTCCAACACCAGGTGGGAAGCAGACGCCCTGATCTGGAAGAGCCCCAGGAGCAGGATTCCTGCCTCCACTATCTTCCACTTCTGCCCTCAGAGAACAGGATCCTCATGTCCATGCCAGAGACACAAAGGGAGAGGGCACACCTGGGCACATATGGAACAGTAGACCCAGGGACTTCAGGAGAGTTACTCACCATTCTTGGGAAAGATTTTCCCTAGTCTGAAAGGCAACACACAGGAAATGAGGTGAGCTAAGAACAGTAATATCTTCCCCAAATGAGACACACAGAGAGTTTGGGAGGGAGAGAAGAACTTACCCAGCTCTGCCTGGAGTTCATCTGAAAAAGATTTTACAAAAAAAAAAAAAAAAAAAAACAGCATGAACTCCCTTCTCTAAGAAAAGGAAAGGCTGTGTGCCTGCAGAACACACAAAAATGACCCCCTCTGTATACAGGAGAAAGTTCTCCTTCCACACTCATCAGAGCCTAAAGGGCCCTAGTTGCCCTCTCTGGATCTGCTGAGTCTCCTGCTTTGGGCAGGGGCCCGGGGTCTTCTTGGAGGCTGCAACCATGGGCTCTGGTCCTGCTGTCAGATTTCCTTCTCTGCAAAAGCTCTGCCCTCACCCAGGCTTCGCCCCTCCCTTGCCTTACCTCTGGCCTTCAGCACCTGCACCTTTGCTGAATGTTCCTTCTTGAGAAAATAGCCAGCCCCAAGGATGACAAGCACCAACATGCTCAGGCTCAAAGCCAAAGCCGGTTTCCAGGGAGAGGCCTGGGGAGAAAAGGGCTCTGCGGCCCAACCACAGACCTCGTCAGGGCACACCCAGGCCAGCCCACCCCAGCACACTCAGGGACTCGGTCCCCCTCCACCCGACCTTCCTGTGAGCAGGAACAGCACTGACCTGGGATGAAAATGGCCTTTGCCTTCTCCTGGCCCAGGATGGGGTTGAGGATGGAGCAGGTCACCTTCTTCACAGAGCTGTCTCTCACCACCAGTGAAGGATCCACGGAAACAGCCCATCAGCATATTGGGCATGGGCCTCAGAGGAAGCCAGGAACTTCTCTCCACTACAGTCTCTGCACTGAACCTGGGGCTTCGGAAACCACCCAAGGGCCGTGCAGGCCACAAGGACCCCATCCTCCTCCAGCCCATCGATAGGCACTTGAGGAGCACAGCCCACACCTGTGGGAGGGAAACTGTGGAGGCCAGAAGGCCGCCTTGTCCCAGGTGCAGACTCAGGACCCTGCCTATCTCTAGGGGGGCATCCAGCCTGCATTTTGGGGGTTTTATTGGAAGTCTTCCCCCAAGGGGTGGCTGGGCCACAGCCCCACCACAGGGAACCAAGGAAGGAGATGTTAGGAGAACCTTTACGGGAGCATCTGGGACGAGGCCTATTCCTTCTAATCACACAGGTGGAAAGACCAAGGCACAGAGAAAAGACAAAAATGAATTTCAGAACTTCTATCTGAGATCAGCCCAGGAAACATAAATCAAGGGACAAAAATTCAGACCAACGCAGGAAGAACAAGAACGGTCTTTTTCAAAATTATTCAAGGATATAAATCAAACTAAGGAATAGAGTTTTGTCAAAACAAAGTCTTGAGTGGACCTCCTCTATGCAGTAGAAAATATTTGTAATTAAGTGATTTATGGATTTTGTTTTGTTTTTGTTTTAATTATCCACCAACTCTTTTGCATATAAACTAATCTTATCCTCATTCACCTGTCACAAAGTGTGTGGAAATCTCCCCACCAAAGAGTAACTTTTCCCCTCAGCTCTGGACCTCACAGGTTACCATCTCTTTTAAGGCTTGGTCCCATCAATTACACTCTCTCTCTTTCTCTTCTGTCTTATTGTTAATCTCTTCCTCTTTACCTATTCTTTTTTCTAAACATATAAACATGTTCAAATTTCTGCAGGCTCTTTTTTCTTCCCTTCTCAGAAGAGGAAGCATTATAATCAATGAACATCTCCATGTTCTCACCACTCACCTTCTTCTAAACCCCTGATAGTCTGGCTTTTCCTACTATTCCTTTGAATCTATTCTTGGTGAGGTAACAAAAATATCCTACTTGGCAGCCTTAGCGGCCACCCTGCAGTCATTCTTCCTCAGTCTCCGTTCAGCATGTGACACTGTTGACTCCATCTTGAAACTGTCTCCATCTTGACTTGGTCACTCTTCTGTTTGGCTTGTCACCTCTCAGATCACTCTGCTAAGCCTCTTTCCTGGACTTCTTTTCCTCCTTCTGCTCCAGGGATGCTTTCGTGAATCTTACTCTTCTCACTTCACATGCTCTGCCTGGTTTCTTTCCACGCACACTGCTTCTCTTTGTAAATCACTTCCAAAATTGTATGCATTAACCAACCCTATCTCCCTTATATCCAAAACCCCATGAGTTATTTCCACCAGGATTCTCACATACACTTTGGACTAAAAACTTCCAAACAGAATTCATAATTTCTTTCCACGTGTAGTAGATCGATTACAAAAGTAGCACAGGGTCTTCACCTTTCTTTATATAAACCTCACCTTCCATTACATCATTTTGGGGTGTCTTCACACTCTGACTCTGGGCTAGGTCAGGTGACTCGATTTGCCCTGGGACCCGAGCAGTGTGACACAGGGAGCCTTGGTTCTGCATTCTGGAGATTCTATGGGAAGGCCGTCCCCTTCTGGTGGCGGGGCAGAGGCACCACCACAGAGAACCAAGGAAGGAGCATATGAACTCTTTAGGGGAGCTCTGGGGCTGGAGACTGTCCTTTCCAACCATGTAGGTGGAAACACTGAGGCACAGACAAAAAAGGATAAGAAATTTCAAACCTCTTTTCTTGAGAGACAGCCCAGGAGACATAAATCAAAGGACAAAATTCCAGACAGACCAGGAGAAATAAGATGGCATCATTACAAAAAATTTCAAGGGCAAAAGTTAAACTTGCCCAGAAGTTTTGTTGAAACTAAGTCTTTGTTGGCCTTACTCTAGGAAGTAGGAAATATTTGAAATTAAGAGATTTATGGATTTTTGTTGTTGTTGTTGGTTTGCTTTCCTTTAATTACCCACAAAATTTTCTTTATCCAAACTGAGCTTACTCTCATCTTCCTGTCACAAAGTGAGAGAAAATCTCCTCCATTCAAGGACAATTGTTCCTCTGAGTTCTGGAACCCAGAGGTCATCACCTCTTCTAAGGCTTAGTCCCATCAATTCTCATCTCCCTTTCCTCTCCTCTTCTCTCCTGTCTCTCACCTCTACGTCCCTATTCCATTCTTATTGTTAATCTCTTCTTCTCCACCTATTTCTTTTCCTAAACACATAAACATGTTCAAATTTTTAGTCTCCTTCTCCCCTTCTTAGAAGAGTAAGCTTTATAACCCATGAACACCTCTATGTTCTCACCTCTCATATACATCTCAACTCCCAACACTCTGACTTCTCTTGCTATTCCAGAGAGTCTATTCTTGGACAGTTAACAAAAAAACTCCCACTTGGAAGCCCAGAAGTCACACTGAAACCCTTCTTCCTCAATATCCCTTCAGCGTGGTCCTTGAATCTCCATTCTTCTCATGTCATACAGTTTCCCTCAGTTCTTTTTGTTCCCATTGCTTCTGTTTGGAAATCACTTCCAAAATTCCATCAATTAAACAACTCTGTCTCCGAAATTCCCCTCCTTTATATCCACATCCACATAGGTTATCTTTACAAGGATTTCTCATACACACTTCAAACTCAAAATTCCAGAACAGAAGTCATAATTTTGCCCTATCTTTGGTACATTAATCACAAACATAGCCCTGGGGCTTCACCTTCTTTATATCCACCTCCTCCTTTGCCACTTCACTTTGTAGTGCCCTCCTACTCTGACTCTTGGATAGGTCATTTGACTTTATTTGGCCAGTAGGAAATTAGCTAATGTGACACAAGCAAATGTTTGAAAACTGCTTGCACCATTGGGCCTTCTGCTATTTCCATGGGAAGGACATGCTCACGCTAGCCTGCAGGAGGATGAGACTCATTGCCTTGTCATCCCAGCCTTTCCCAGATCAGCCAGTTGACTCCCATCCATGTGAAAAACCCAGCCAAGGTCCACAAGGTGACCCCTTCTGGTGACCAAAATATATAAATGACCCAGTTGACATTAGCCAAGCCTAGCCCAGATTAGCTGAACCCTATAAACGCTCAGAAGCCCAGCTAGAGCAGTGGCTAAGCATTCAGCTGCTAACCAAAAGGTCAGCAGTTTCAACATCCTGGCAACATGGTGCTATAGACAGAAGCACCACTCCATCCCTCCACAGCAAAGATCCAAAAAACTAAGTCAGAGACAAAAGTCAATCCTGAAACCCTAAGCATCAAATGAAGAGCTAAAGAACTCAGACAAGCACTGAATGAAATAAGAAACTGACAGAGAACAGAGAGTGAGGAGAGATACATACAGAGGTCTGCTATCAGCTACTGCAGCATGGGTCTGCCATCTTGGGGTCCTATAAGAGATTGGCAAACAAGGGGTATGAGAAAGCAGCTACATGGAGCTTCCAGCAGGAGACATAACAACTGGTAACTAGCGATATTCACTTTCCCACCCCCCACCTTTCTTCACCCCCACTCGGCCTCCTCTGCTTCCTGTGACCACAGTCTCTTGGCCAGGAAGCACCAGCTTCACATCAGTGCCACTTAGATTCCACCCGCCCACACTAGCCGGCTCCATGAGTGCCATTTGTTGGCTGCTGGTGTTGCTTTTTTCTGCTTCTTTTGATTTCTTCCTTACCTCTCAACACCTCCCCCTCCTTTCTCTCAAACGCCTGGCTTCATGTGGCATCTTTGCTTCTCCCCAAAAAGCTATGAAGCAACGCTCAAATATGAAACTGCTTCCTGGGCTGTGCTGCCATGCTGGTGGGATCCCTGGGGCTTTTTTTTCTTCGTTTGTTCTGGTTTTCTCCGTTTTGAATTGTTTGTTTTCTTTTTCTTTTCTCAGCCTCGGAGCCCCTTCTAGCTGGACAGCACTGCGCAGCTTGGGAGCTGCTCCCTTACTCTGCGCAGATGCACAGTGAGATCCCTGGGGACATTTCATTTTTCTTCGTTTTTTTTGGTTTTTGTTTTGTTTCTTTGTTTTCTTTTCTTCTCTCTCTTTTTCCCTTTTGGTTTTTCTCCATTTTTCAGTTTCTCGTCTCTCTAAACTTCCTTCTTTTCCTATCTCCTGAATAAGTGGTGCTATGTGACACCTTTACCCCTTCTAGCCAAGCTGTATTTTATGGCCTGGGAGAAACTTCCACAGTCCTTGCAGCCACACCAGGGGGATACCTGCAGGTTTTTCTTTTTTCTTTCCTAATTTTTATTTATTCTTTTTTTATCTTTTTTCTTTTTTTCTTTTTATTTTTCTCCATTTCTCACTCTCTCATTTCTCCACTCCAATGGCAAGCTCCCTTAGCACTCTTTTTTCTTTCTTTGTTTGTATGTTTTTGGCTACTGGTCCTTTCTCCTCTCTCTCCTTTTTCCCATACCCATCTTAGCTCCACACATCACAATCTCCCCCCTCCTTCCTGCCTACCTGCACCATATGCTGAACATCACACCCCCCAGCAGCACACGCATGGCCTACTAGAAGCTGCCCTGCACTGATTCCTGGCCCACTCTGTCAGCCTTAGTACGTGCCACAGACAACCCACCCCAGCAACTTCCCTTCACCTGAATCTGCCCTGCTGTACCATACCTGAGCAACAGACCCTGTTCATTGGAAAAGG